TCCTCACTGAACGGAACCTCAGTGCACCATTGTCCACACCATTCAGGCCTATCTTGTGACCACAATCATTGATCTCAATTCCGGGAAGAACAGCATTGGTGTCAAGGTCCCGTATGGGAACAATGAATGCATGAATGCCCATATCAGCAGGGTCCCCACCTTTTCCTTGGAGGGGCAAAATTAACCTTGCAAAAACAGTAGCGAATTTTCCATGAAGTGCTGCATTACCAATCCACCACTTAATAGCTCCATCATTGGGTGTATTGATAATGAACTCATCAGTAACTGGATCGAATGTAGCAGTAGTTTGTAGGGCCTGGACATTAGATCCTGTTAAGAAGGGAAAATAAATAAAATAAGATGAAATAGTAACGTGTGGAGGACTTAACTATTATCATGATGGGAGCTAACAGGCTGCATGGGCATGAATATTCATTCTCAAATTATTGAGAACAGAACAGTGTTGTTTGGTGCAGGGTTCAGATCCGACTGTGTAAGGAAGAACCAAAATAATATGGTACATAACAGTAATGGGATGGAGGTTGAACTAGGAGGTTTGGACTGATAAAGTGTAAAGCAACCAAGCAGTGATAATGATTAGTTAGTGAGTAAATAGAAGTAAGAACTAACCATGGTGCAGCTCTGTCATAGCAAAACAGCCAGGATAATCCAAATTGTCGATTCCGTCAAAGAACCTATCTCTGTGCTTTTTGGTTCCCAGATTTATTATAGAACCTCCCCAAAGGCTGCATTAACAAGCAGGTCATGTAGTGAATTTCCAATGCAAAGCTCCTAAAAAATAACTTTGTTAAAAAAAGGGTAAAAGATCATCTGCATTTTTGGAGCTTGGCATGCTATCATTCATCCTGTAAATAAAATGGCCTAAAAACTAATAACCAACAAAAATGCTTTCCAAAAGCAAGCTCAAGCACGTTTTGATGCTTGATTGAGCCATCAAAATCAAGAATTAATTAGCTCTCTTTATCATAGCAAGTAAGCAGGCTGACACTCGACGGTTGCAAAAGACGACCATCATTTAATATCAAACCATTACAAAAGAGAAACAAAAAATTTCGTATTATAAATGAACTGTTGCTTTTCATAGCCCTTATAACTAACAACCCAACTAACAATAGTTGCCCTCGTGGAAGAGTGCAAATGCAATATTGGCATATTGTTGCCAACAGCCAACAGCAGCAGTACTGTATCTCGTTGAGCTATCGATAGGTACAAGCCCCCCTTTCGCAATCACAGCAATAATGCTTTAATTATTGCGAAGGTGAAAACACAATTAGCATGTATTACATGATTACATCGCATGGTCGCTTTGTTTTCCTCAATTATTCATCTCGGTAAAAAAAAAAAGAAGAAGAAGAAGGAAAGAAGATCACTACCAGACTACCAGTAACCAGCTAACTATTACCAATTTTTTTTAGATTTATTGAGTTCCCATTGGATTGGAACACACGAACTCTTCGAGGAAGCATACATTTGATTGAGTTTAACAATTAGTATAAGTGTATAACAAATTGCAGTTGAGCGTGAAAAAAATTTGAAGAGAAACCATGAGACGTGCAGAACATTCAGCACCGACAGGAACTAGTCAATTACTAATTATTTAGTATTACTCAATTTGTAATCCTTTACCTGTACTGGACGCCGAGCTTGACGCCGAGGGAGATGTCGGCGCCGCCGGCGGCCTCCATGACGGCGAAGTACTCGGCGGGGTCGTTCGCCATGAGGCTGAGCGGGCGCACCCCGGCCTCCCGCACCAGCGCGCACAGCTGCCGGAAGCAGAGCTCCCGGTGCGCGGCGGTGGACATCTCGACGGGCGTCTGGAGGTCGGGCCGCGAGAGGAAGAACTCGAACACCCGCGCCTGCGTGTCCCGGTGCCTCCCCCTCAGGTACGCCGCCAGCGCCGCCGCCGCGTCCGCTCCCCCCGTCGCCCGCCGCCTCCCCGCCGCCGCGCACGCCGCGGGCGCCAGCCCCGCCTCCGACGAGGGGGACGGATCCTGCAGGTGGAGGGACAGCACGCGCAGCCGTCGCATCGCCGCCGTCCGGTCGTCTTCGTCGTCTCCGCCGCCGCGTCGGCGGCCGGAGCGGGAGGCGGCGGTGGCCATGTCGTGGTCGCCGGCGTGGTGTTCGACGAAACGCGCGCGCGACGGAAAGCGAAGCGGTGGTCGTTGCCGTTACGTTAGGACGTTGCTTTTTTATGGGCACAAAAGGTTGACCTCTCTCACAGATTGACCCCTAACAAAACTAATATTTTCATATATGCCCCTAACCTCCGAATTCTGAGGAAATCTGTGTAATAATGAAGAAATCTGTGGGCGTTTTTTTGGTAATTTTGGTACTGTTAAGACAGCGAAGGCAAGGAAGCGAGAGGAGATATGGGGTGACGTGGCAACAAGCAGATGGTGATGTGTAGATAAGGCTTACCTTTCTTTGACTAACTACCTTCTCGTGACCCACTATCTCACTGACAGGTGGGGCCACAACCTCCTTTGCATTTTCTGGTCCCACATGTCATTGGGTTAATAGGAAAGGATGGGAGAGATAAACGGTGCGTGTCGAGCTTCGTTTGCTCGTCATGATGACGTGTCGATCCGCGGACTTTCTATCGCACGCTTTACGATGTGAGAGGATTGGATGAGGATTGTGACGTGGAATCCGTTCGTGTCGGTTTTTTTCTTTATTCGTTTTTTTATTTACTTTGGGAGTTTTTTCGTGTGGGTTTGAAACTTTGAGCTAATGAAGCAATCGATCTCTCATGATTTTTTTAGTCCAACGAAGCAATGTCTCTAATCTTTAAATAAACGAAATACAGTACGTAGTATTTGATTTGATTTCCCTCATGGTGTGTTTAGTTCTAAAGTTTTTTTTTTCAAACTTCTAACTATCCATCACATCAAACCTTTTATACGCACACAACTTTTCAGTCATATCGTCTCCAATTTCAACCAAATTTCAAACTTTGGACCAATCTAAACACAACCTAATATGATCACAGATGCAAATCATATATATATGAGAAGAAATCGTCTTATTATTATTTTATTCTGAGATAATAAGGAGATTGTTTTCCTTGAACGAAAGAACAAGAAGATTTCTATGATTAACTGGGAATCTAGTATATGGGTATAGTGTAAAGTGTTCCTTTATGCACGGTTTTGTATAGTTTAGGGGTAAAGATTTTTGGTATTAGAGATTAGAGATGTCATACAAACTCGATCTAAAGTTGAGGGACGTTTGGTGAATTTGTTCCATATGTACTTAGCCACTCGGAGTTGCGCGTTCGCGCGACCATGAGATGCCATCTTTATTGAAAGATCTTAAGAATTATTAGTGATAGTACGAGTCAACGATAACAAGTAAAAAGGAATTGAGAGTTTTTTTTTTTCGAAAAAATCACTCTACACTACACTGGCAGTTCACAAGTCTCTTCGTGAAACGTCGATTCAGAACCTGGGATATATACCAATAGACTACATAGCTGTTCCCAAAATTCAATCCAACGAGGACTACTAGTTACTAAACACCAAGATCTGCAGGCCAAAACATATTTACATGTTTCCTCTGTGATGGTCGAAGCCGTGTGGCAATTTAAAATGTAAACTGTGACAGAACGGTAAAAATTATTTCTTGTGAATACAGAAAAACACGAATATCTTTTGTATTAAGGAGAAGACCAAAAGAGCAACAATTTGGAGTGCAGAGTGCAGAGCATAACCAAGCTAAATTGAAGGGGGGATACGCTGTTGGATAATGAAAATGTTCTCCCTTTTTTTATCCGACAATTTGCACTTGACCCCAAAACCAGCTCAAGTGACTAGTTCTAGTTCTAGTAGTACTAAGAACAAGTCAACTACTAGTCAATTTAATACTAGTCAATTTAATAGATAATTCATACAATAGTTATCTATAATACTCCCTCCATTTTAAAATGTTTGACACCGTTGACTTTTTAGCACATGTTTAACCGTTCGTCTTATTCAAAAAATTTTATGAAATATGTAAAACTATATGTGTGCATGAAAATATATTTAATAATGAATCAAATGATATGAAAAGAATAAATAATTACTTAAATTTTTTGAATAAGACGAATGGTCAAACACGTACTAAAAAGTCAACGGTGTTAAACATTTTGAAACGAAGAGAGTATATAGTACACAATTAATACATGGTCTCACTTATCATACATACATGCATCTTAGAGCCTGTGCTGCAGCTGGCTACAAATCTATAGCCCGCTACTCTTCTCTCTCCTCTTTTATCTTCTCAAAATGTGTTTATAGCTAGATTATAGTTTGCTATTGTATCTGCTCTAATACTACTCCCTCTCTCTAATTTTAAGTGCAACCATAAGTTTCTGCGCAAAACTTTGACCGTCCGTCTTATTTGAATTTTTTTTATAATTAGTATTTTTATTGTTATGAGATGATAAAAAAATGAATAATACTTTGTGTTTTTAATTATTTTTTTAAAAAAATTAAATAAGACAGACGGTTAAAGTTATACACAGAAAATCATGGCTGTACTCAAAATGGAACGGAAGGAGTATTAACTTATTGCACAAGCTCCAACAGAGATATTGGCTGTGTTTAGTTCCTTCCAAAGTTGGAAATTTGGGTTGAAATTGGTACGATGTGACTGAAAAATTATGTATGTATAACAGGTTACTGTGATGAAAAAAGTTGAAAGTTTGGATCCAAAGTTTGGATCTAAAGTTTGGATCTAAACACAACCATTATCGAAGTACCGCGTATTCCAGGTCATTATCGAAGTACCGCGTATTCCAGGTCTCCCATGTCGATGCTAGTAGTAGTCAAAGACATCTAGAAATACGCGTCACAGCATGAGATAGCTCAAAAAATAAACTAGAAAAAGGAGAAAACCCGTACCAGTAGGATTGTTATTTATTTTGATGATTCAGGCACAGTAAAAATGACATGTTCAAACAACACTGCAATCTGCAAGAATAAGAAGGGGATAATTGATCACCCGTAGTATTCATCAACTACCACCGTAGGTCTGTTGGGATGCAAGCTGACTGAACTTCTGATATCAGACACCTGCACCTTGGTAGTTTCAGGAGCTTGCTGGCTAACTCTAAGAAGCACCTGCTGGAGGCTAGCTAGGTTTTCCACACCATGAGCACCTTCCAAGATCCTAAACCGCAGCTCCAGCCTCTGTAGCTTCGGCATCGCGCCATCAAGGAAGCTTAGCAGTGGCAGTAACGGTGCCGAGAAACGGAGCAGCTGGAGGCTGTGAAATCCGTCAGAAGGGATGAGGATTTTCCCCCCTGAATTCATCGTGTTCTTCGTCAGGATCTCCATGACACCGTGGTCCTGGCTTGCTGCACTGACCGAAAACGCAAGGGAGAAGAGCACGGGAAGTTGGGCAATGATAAACAAAGCATCTGTGCTCAGTGATGTCAATGATAAAGTCAATTTCTCCAGGTTTTGTAGCTCACTGATCCATTTAGGCACTCTGGGTAGTTCGCCTGAAAGCTCGAGTGTGTGGATGTATTTTGGAGTGGATAGAGAATCCATCAGATTAAGAAATCCGGTGAAACCATCATCAATTGCAAGAGACTTGAGCGAACAGCCAGTTAGGTACTCGATGGCAGACAGCAATTCATGACTCAGGTTCTTGCTGTCGAAGTCTTTGACGTTATAGATGCTGAGCTTCTTCAGCTTGGTGAGATTGTGCATGTCTGCAAGTGCTCCAGCTGAGCTCTTGCAGATCCCAATCCCTGACAGTGTTTGTAGCGCTATCATCCTCGAGATCGCTTCAGTGAATCTCAAACCGAGACGGGTGGTCTTATTCCCACTAGAGATGGCAATGGGTACCCATAACCCGAGACCCGACGGGTTTTTACTCTATTAGGAGCCAATCGTGTTCTAACTCTTATACCCATGGGTTTACTAACGGGCAAAAACTCTTACCCATTAGGTACGTGAGTATGGGTCCGTTCTTTACCCACCCATACCCACCAACCCGTGGGTAGAAAAAACCCGTTGATTGAGTCTAAAACTATAAGCATTATAACTCTCAACGACTACTAAATCATAGCATAAAACTCATTTCACATCTTAAAGCATTGCTTAGTCTAGTTATATGAAATTATTATTTGATTTCTTGATTATGTAATGTGGTTGTATAATTTTTTTACTCACCTTTGAACACTAATATTAATAGCATTGTTGCTAGAGAAAATATTGATGGTTTACAACTCTAATATGGCTAATTATAGTACAAAACTATAAATATTACAAGTCAATTATATGGGTATGGGTACCCGTTGGAAACCCGTTACCCGCATGGGTGTGGGTATGGGGACAATTTTGTACCCGCGATTGGTGTGGGTATTTAAGTGGGAGTATTTAGACATCGTGGGTGTGGGTATGGGGCAAGAGAACCCGATGGGTATGCACCCGTTGCCATCTCTAATTCCCACCAAGTAGATGTGCCATTTGTTTGAGATCTGCAACTGATGGTGGCAGCTCCTGCACATTGGTCTCCCTTATGTCCAACGTTTCCAAATACTGCAGCTTTCCAATGTCTGACGGGAGCTTCTTGACGTGTGCCTTGCGCAGGCTCAAGAACTTCAAATGAAACATCTTGCATATTTTGTCCAGATGGCTGGTAGTCAAGCCCTTGCAACCTTCAAGATCCAACACCTGCAGTATCCCAAACTTGAATGTAAAAGACTGAAATTGTTCTAAACTCTCGAATGCTGTCAACGATCGTACATGTGACGAGTTCATTCTTTCTATGGCATCCTTCGCATGCTCTGGATTGCTACTGTGTAGGGATAACCGTCGAACCTTGTTACCCGGCATTGCTGTGAGCCAGTGACCACCAACTACAGTGATGAAATTCTCCTGAAATATTTACATTTTGGTCCTTTTTGAAAACTTATTTTACAAATAGACTCCTGGGAAAACTTAAACCGGAAATGGTCCTTTTTGGGACGCCAGAGTGGCTGGCGCCGTACCACAACATGGCGGCGTCAGCCACACTGGCGCCGTGCCCGTGCCACCGTGGCAATAGGGCTATCGTGGAGATGCTGACTAGGCCGAAGGGGGCGCCAGCCAAAGTGGCGCCGCCCCTCATAGCACGGCGCCAGCATGGCTGGCGCGCCCCTCCTCTGCGGGCCCCACCAACTTTCTCCCCCCCCCCCCACAAATTTTCGCCAAGTCTGTTCTGCCTCCAGGCAACGGCTGGCCCCCCCCCCCCCCCGACCGCGGCGCCAGGGTGGCTGGCGCCCCCCTCCTCCCCCATCGAAGCCCTTCTGCCTCCGGGCCTCGGTTGGCGCCGCCCTCATGGACCACGGCGCCAGGGTAGCTGGCGCCGCCCTCCCCCAGCCCGAAACCCTTCTGCCTCGCGGCACTGGCTGGCGCCGCCCTTCCCAACCTCGGCGCCAGGGTGGTTGGCGCCGCCCTCTGCCTCCCTGCAAATTGAAGATCCATATTGCACAAATGTACCAATTCACAGTTCGCAATTCAAATCACAATTCACAGATTCGTACAGACTAAAACAGATTCCAATTGCACAAATCACAATGCCAAAAGTCCATCACATAGTCCTCACATAGTCCATCACATATTCCACACATCAAACAATGCCAAAAGTCCATCACATATCCCACACATCAAACAATGCAAAAAGTCCATCCTATATTCCACACAAAAAACAATGTCAAAAGTCCATCACATAGTCCTCACATAGTCCATCACATTTTATATCACATAGTGCACCATATATGTCATACTACCAACCAATAGATTAACTTCATACAAATTACTTCTTCCGTTGGCGCCGAATTGCTTGCGAGCCCGGAGTGTACCTACATTTGAAAATCCAATGTTTAAAACATTTTAAAAACAAAATAAGGGAAATCAAATAACATTTGAGAATGGTAAGTTCATTTTACCTCTTTTTCGCTGCCCGAGTGGATCGCAAGTTGTATTGCGTGGGTTGCGTCCCCTGAGGCGCGTCGGGAAGCTGTGACATGTCTATCTCCTCGGCGTCTGGTGTGACATAGTCCTCATCCTCCTCGTCCTCATCGTCATCGTCGTCGCTAGGTGGAGCCGGCGCCTTCCCCTTTCCCCTCCCTTGCTTAATGCGTGACGACGACGAGCCACCAACTCCTTCACGCTCTTCTATCCTGATGGAGTGTCGAGCAGTACTTGAACGCGCGGATTGAGGTAGTGGTGGTGGTAGTCTCCCCGGTTGGTACACGTCGTCCAATCCAACCGACCTGCAACCTAATCTTGCTACAAGTTTCCGGCACCTTTGACGAACTTTCTGCATTTCAAAAAAAAAGAAGTTTGTTAGGCATAACTCAAGTAATGCAAAGTGCTAAATAAATTTTACCTCTAAAACATTGCGGAGCGTGTTCTCCGTGTCCTCACCACCCCTCGGAGCTTGGAGGGCATGCCCCATTTCATTCACACTCCTAAGGAGCTCTCTCGACTGAAAGCGTTAAAAGATATATGTTAGGGTCTAGGGTGCAAATGGAAGTAACTTTGACAAATGCAAGAAAACTTACGACTCTGTCTCTAAGTGGGGCGTGCTCCATTTGATATCCAACTCTAGTCCGGACATCATAGGGATTCCATTCTGCTTCTTCTTCCCCCCTTGCCCCTGCTCAATGTTCAGTGGAATGCCAAACAGCTGCTGCACTTGTGCATGCCATCCAGGAGTCTCTGTCCTGCCCGTCACAGCATGCCCCCGTAATGGGAGGGCCAAGATCATAGCCACATCCTGTAGAGTGATGGTCATCTCACCACTGGGGAGGTGGAAGCTGTGTGTCTCAGGCCTCCATCTGTCCACAAGTGCTGTCAACGCAGGAGCGTTGAACACTGGCATTCCTCTGCTCACGACCAAGGCCACCCCGAGCAACCCGGCAGCCCTTGTCACGCCCAGAAATTTAGCCCAAATTTCCAGACTATTTTGTGTATTAAATCCCTGTCCAGGACCAGCCAGGGTACACAAAACGACAAGTAATATACAGTTCCAAACGTAAATAAAGCGTAAAATACTTAAAGAGGCACTTAGTCCTCGCACCGAAACGAAAACAGCAGCAGCGGAAAAAAGGCGATCCTAGCGGGGCTTCAGCTCCACTCCACAGGCAAAACTCAACTGGGGTCCGAGCCTTGGTCCTCTAACTTCGTCTTCAGCTCAGAAGCACTACACTTCTGAAAAGGGGGAATAATAGCAAGACTGAGTACAACCACCGTACTCAGCAAGCCACACCAACGATGCAGACGTGCAAGGGGAACACAAGGACGGTTTGTGGCTATTTGCATAAAGGCGGTTGTAAAACGTTTTATTTAGCAAACAGTAAAACTGTTGAGTAATTAAAGTAACATTAAAATCTCCACTGATCAACGCTACACCACGTTGAACAGGCCCAACCAACCCACCTGTACTACAGTGCATTGGGTCGATTTATTAAGGTGGGACTAATCACAGTGAATCTGGTCGACCGCCCATAACCGCGGGCACGGCTATTCGAATAGTTTTACTCTGATCAGAGGTGTACAACTGTACCCACAAGACACAGCCCCACGACACGTTTCCGTGCGCCGACATGCCACCACGACATACCGGAAAGAGGCCGTGACAGGACCCTTCGCATAACCCCCTCTAACCGATCGCACCACACCTTAGGGTTCGCCCCCGTCCCCAGCAGGCAACGGGCAGCCCCCCTTTCGTGCCGCGGTGAATCCGGAAGCCGATCAACCGGACACCCCGGCCGACCCAACTCCATCACGCCCACCCTCGCCTGGGTACGTCGGCTAGAGAAAAGCTACACTACAAGCCCAGCCGTTGCCCACGCTGGCTTGTGGTAAGTACGATAAGTTCTTCCAGGGCATCCCGCGAACCGGTCCTTAACTGCCATGGGTGCGACCAGCAAAACCATGCACCCACAGCCCACCATTCAGTCGCATTTTAGTTGGATAATTACGACCATGAAGCATGGCCAGGTGTCTCGAGCACGCAGCTCACTCTGATACTAAAAAGGTCTAATACTGCAATTATCCCATCAACTGAGCTAGTGGTAATTAAGCATGGCTAAGCATATAGTTCTAGCTAGGTCACATAAGTAACATGAGCTAGTCGATTCATTACCCAAGGTTGACAAAGAACAGATATCAAGTAAACATGGCACAAGCGAGCAGATAGGTAAAACCCTGACCCCATGTAATTAGCAAAACATGCATATTTGTTTGCAAACAGTAAAACATTTGTAAATTGGGATCAACATGCTCAAGGGGAATGTGTGACTTGCCTTGCTTCTTCACTTTGATCTTCCGAACTTTTTTCCTCGCGACCGCGGACTTCCGAAACGACGGAAACTACACGCTGGCACGCAAAACGAGGAAAAACTCTAATAAAAACCAAGGAAACAGTACATAAAAACTAAACAAACATGTAGAGCTCAATTTTAGATGAATTTTGCAAGTTGAATGGCTCAATTCGGAGTTCGAATGAATTAGATATGGATTTTAGAAATTTTGAGCCATTTAAATGAATTTCTAGAATTAAACTCGATTTATTGCGCAATTATTATTTATTTTCTCAAGGGAAATGGCACTCGCTGACGTCAGCAAGGGGCGCCGGCGCCGACAGGTGGGCCCAACACGTCAGCGCGTCAAGGAGGTGCGGGCTTGGACCGGGTCCACCAAATGAGCGGGCCCCACGCGTCAGTGGGCAAAAGGATCTAGCCCACCGTGGACCGAGTCCACGGTAGAGGTGCAAGGCGGAGGGGTGGGTTGGCTCGCCGACCAACCCGACCAGACGGCGGCGCGTGGCCGGACGGCCACTGGCGGCGACACCGGCGGCGGCGCGGCGCGGCGCGACGGCGACACGCATGCGGCGGCCGGCGGGCAAAGAGAGAAAAAGAAAGGGAGGGGAGGAGGAGGGAGATGCTCACCGACGCGGGAAGGACGACGACGACAACGGGCGGCGGCGACGCCTTCTCGGGAAGACGGCGCGGGCGGCCTCGGCGACGACCGGCGGCGGAAAGGATGGCGGCGGCCGGGATGGGAGGCGACGGGAACAGCGTTCCGACGACGCCCGGCCACAACGGAGCCGCGGCCGAGGGCCGGCAAGACCTGGGGAAGATATTGGAGCGGTTAGGGAGGGAAGAGCCGGCACGGAGCGACCAAAAACGACGGCCGACGGCGGCGATACGGAGTGGAGCTGACCTTGACTTTGGAAAAGCGGCTCCCGTGGGGTTCTGGACGGAGTGGAGTGGCAGCCAGGGTGCGGTGGAGCGCGGCGACGCTGCGCGACGACGGCTAGAGCGGTGAGAGGCGGCGGCTGGAGGCGGTATAGTTGAGGTGGCTCGGGTGGACAGCGGAGGTGGAATTTTGGTGGGAGATTTAGGGAAAAGAGGTGTAGGACGGGGTGGAGCTCGGCGCGGCGATGCCGACGGTGGCGACGGCACGGCACGGCGGTGGCTGAAGCTGCGAGAAGAGGCGGCTGGAGCCGGCGGCGGCGGCGGAAAGAGGTGGTGCGCGTGGCTGCGGCGCTTCGAAGGTGGAGAGGGGAAATGGAGCGGTGGACGGGGTGCGCACGGCGGCTGCGATGCCGGGGAGGGCGACGGCGCAGTGCGGGGTGAACGAGAGCGGCGGCGCGGCGCGGCTGGAGTTCGCCGAGGAGCGGCGGAGCTGGGACGCGCGCGGGGAGAGCGGGAAAAGGCGCCGCGGGCTCGGGGAGGAGGGGGAAACGGGAGAGGAAGCCCCGGGGATGCTCTTTATAGGGGAGGGGAGGCGGGATCGAGCCCGAGAGGGGTGGAAACTGGCCGGCGACGTGGGAGGAGAGAGAG